AAATTTAATAATATTTTATAATGAATAGAAGTCCATCATAAATATAGGAGACCGATAATAGAACATCAAAAAATGTGTTTGCAGGCAGTTTAGTGCAGCAATTGAAGTCCATTTCCAGACAAGCAACTTTTCCTTCGGTTTTCAACAGATAAGACATAATATATCCCGATTCAAGGATACATTTCTAAGACAAGATAAGAGCTAATAATTCATTTTGAGCGAAACTTTATTATTTATTTTATTAGTATAATCTTTTTTGTCTACCAGTTTTTACGAAAGAATATTCATCAAATGTGACTTCATCTGGCCCACATCCTGGTTACGTCCATTACAAGCTACCGTTCAAATTAGAAACTACGTTTTAATCAATGCTATCCTTAAATTAGAGTAATAACACAAAAAATACTTTCAATCTAACTTTCCGTTTTGACAGTCTTACATATGGCTCATTCCTTTATAAATCGACAACTTTTCGACCTTATCATCTCCAATTTGATTGAAATTTTTTCTATAAGCTCCTTTCATAAAATAAATATGCCCGTTTAAAAATGTGTCTACATAGCTAATTGTCATTTCATGGGTCCATATCACCTTTTAAAAAAATTTTCAAATTTTTTCTCGAGATTTTTCCGAGTTCTCTTATTTTCTGAAAGAAGCTCATTTTAGTTAAATTGGAAGTAATGAGATCAATGTTTGCTAAAATCGAGCTGACTTGTAAAACAATGACCCACATGTACCAGAAATTATAAACTATCTGCAAAACAATAAGTTGTCCATACATAAGATAAATCAAATCCTTACTGAAATTTAAGTCAATATTATCTAACACTATATTTCTCGAACTAAAACAATAACATACTTTATTATTATACTTCTTCTAATTTGCTTAATCAAATGCAAGTTAGTATCAAAAGTACGTTTATTTAATAGTGTCTATGACTATCGGGATGATTCGTTGAATTCTGATGACAAGTGCAAATGATTTCAGAGATGCATACTTTAAAGCCCAGCATATCTTCCTGACGAAATATACATATATTGCATTTGATTTGAGAGAGTGCAATCCTGAATTAAGAAATAGGAAATACGAGTATAAATATTTATCATTAATTCCGGAGACCGATAAAACATTCAATGTATTTTGAAAGAACGGGTAACAATATCTTATTAAAAGAGCGTTAGCCATAATAGCTTGTGCTTTTTGTATGGTAGTTCTTACTTTTAATTTCTCTATACAGTCAAAGAAAAGGTCATTTTGCAAAGAAAAGGTTCGACTTATGAAGACTTGAAGAACTTTTTTGTAATTTTCTAAACCCTGTTGCACTCTATTGAGTTCGTGTTATAGAAAATTTGAGTTACAGAAGTTCGAGTTATGGAAGTTTGACTGTGTTAATATGATTTTCTGTATGTTATGTACTGTTCTATAATCTTTAATATGTTTTCTATAAAACTTACTTTATCTTAAATTAATTAAATACTGTTTAATTCCCAGATACTGATTATAGGTTATTATAACTTACCGTTTTATATCTCACCCTTGAGATAGAAGTATGAGACATTTTTAAATTATTGTGGAGAAAATACTTAGCAAATAATATTTGTAGTATATTACAGCATAACGCTAAAAGGCTTACTTTCTTCTCAGTACCTTCGTTAAAAACCTAAATTGTCACAATGACAGAATGCGGTTCCATCAGGTATCGATGCGCTCGAAAGCAAATTGCTGGTATTATGGTGGTATGGTTGGGTTGTTATATTGTCGAAGCAAACAGCAAATGTTTAAAGCAAATGTTTGATAGCTAAGTTGTCTCTAAAATCATCAACCGCCTTCGAAGCATATACCGAGTAGGCCAATTTAAATGGGCCAACTGAAACATTTGATACAGTTATGAGTACTTGGAACTCAGACTTGCAAATGCAAATGTTGCAAGATGTTTCAGTGTTTAAGATGTTGCCATAACTACTAAGTGATGAAAATCAATTTTCATCTAAATGTAGTAATGTATATATCGAATACAAAAATCAATTGCACAAATAGTGTTTTTTCTTTCAATTTGAAATACATAAATAACTATAAAAATACAACATAGAAATGGTTTATTGATAAGTACAAAAAGCAAATTGAGCATAAGACAAGAAGAATCAGTCTTAAGTACGTTGCAGTAACACAACTCAAAAAGCCTTACAAAAGGTCAAGAATTTTTTGTTGAATGCACTAAACTCACGATGCATTCAAGCGAAGTTATACACTTCATTTACGGGAAATACCATAACATTTACAGATTTAAAATGCCAGAAAGAAGATTGACTGAAAATAAATAATATTTTCCTTATAAGACTTCAACGGACCTTTATGTTTTTATATTAAATTTATTATTTAAAGTTAATTATGAGAAAAGTGAAGAATTTTAGTTAATTTTTATTTTTTTTAATTGAAATTTTTGACCCACCATAAAGCTATTTGGAGTATTACCAAATATTTATCTGTAATTTTTCAAAATGATTGGTACTTATAGTACGTATATAATTTTTGGGCTACAAATACCTGGCTTATAACTTTGAATCTGCTAAATTAACAGCAATGACTACGCGGGTTTTAAGCAAACGAACCGAAGCTACTCCAAACTTTAATTGTTCTAATTTCAATTTTTTTGTTTCTTTTTTGTGACATCTCAGAAAATAACAACCAAAACAATGTCATAGTTTTCGATTAAAACAAACTTATAAGCTATAATATAGCACTATATAAACAAGCACTTTATGGTAATTAAAGTGTACTATTATAGTTTTTTTAGTATTAAAGCTTTAATACTTTTCTTTTTGTATTCAAACTAAACCTATAGTAAAACTACTTAATACTGTCTCTACGAATTGATTAGTATTGAAATTTCAACAATTAAAAAATTATGAGAGTATATTATATAGTATATTATAATAGTTAATAGTTAATAGAATTAACAGTAACTGCATTTCTTGTATAGTTGACTTCGGTGCAATTAACCCTTGTAATATTCATTATTTTACCTAAAATGAGTACAACATATTAGCCAGACATAGCACATTATTTTATTTAGTAATGATGACATAAATATTTTCTTAGCCTTAGTTAAGCTTAATTTATACGCTATATTGAGGAAATACGAGAATATTTACTTAGATACTATATACTTATTATTCGTATAAAACCTTTAGTAATAAAAATATCTATATCACATATAGATAACTCAATAACTTAATGTAACGTAATTTTTAGTGCATTAAACATCCATTAATTGATGCTCAATAAGTTTTCTTTCTTTAACTAGTGCGAAAATTAGAATACTTATTAATTTATTTTTTCGTAGATTTTAGTTTTTTCCGAAAACCTTATTTATCTTAAAATTCTAAGTTATTGTTTGTTACTTTTACACGTCTTGTCTTGTATAGACAAATAATTATATACATAATTATATATATATAATATCTTAAATTATAAGATATGTCCATTATATACCATTATCTTGTGAACATTGTTTCAGACCTGGCACACTTCATGCACTATCATAAACAAGCTGCAATCCTTCATCAACAGAAGCCTAAAACATATTTTAAAAATCTGGTGGCCGCGAACTATTTGCAACGAAACGCTGTGGCGAATCTGCCATCAAGAAAGCATCAAAAAGGAAATCAACCAGCGCAAATATGGATGGATTGGCCATACGCTCGGGAAGAGCTCAAACGAAATACCTCACGCAGCGTTAGAATGGAACTCACAGGGCCTACGAGAAAGAGGTAGGCCGAAAAATACTTGGCACAGAACTGTCCCTAGCGAAACAAGGAAATCTTTTAACGAACTTAGAGCAATAGCTCGGTAGCGCAATAACTGGAAAGCATTTGTAAATTCTATAATATAAATTTGATGTACATAAAACGTTCTTTGTAATTAGACTAAATTCATAATTTTGTTAAAATATAAATATGTCCTAATAATAATAATAATAATTGTTTCAAACAAAATTTCAATTTTTCAAATTTTGCTATAAGATATGATTGAAGTAATTTGCTCTCACTTATTAGAAAAGTTAGGACATAGAAAGCTATGCTGAGATAAACTACCAGGGTATCACAATCGATATCGTTTGTAAGGATTTTATGCCTTAAACAATTTAATAAGAATAGTGAGTAACGACATTATGAATTGCTTTGGCTTCATGGGGGAGTATAACAGATCTTTAAGTCGCAATGGAAAACAATAATAAAAATAATGGGTAATATTACATTGTAATATATATTGATTGCAATGCTTTATATTACTTAAACCACAATTTGTCTCTTTTTTTTGTGGTTTTTAGTAAATAAGTTGTTTTAATTTTTCTATAATTATCAGTTCTTAGGAACTCATATCAAATACATATATAAAATAAGGAATTCCTTTCTAATGCTCTTCTCAAATGCAAAGAGCGTAAATCGTACGTTACTTCTTCATGTTATCCTCTCGCATTACGATAAGGATAATACTATTGTAAACTCTACACGTGCGCTGAATATGGAATGTGGAACTAAACTGAGTAAAAACATGTTCCAAAAACAGTTGTAAAAGCATTGTGAATAATGTGGAAATTATCTCAAAGGACGATTTGGATTATATCTCTAAAATTTTAGATGAGTGGAATTCAGCTACGTTCAGCATGTTCGCATTAACATTTTGAATAAATGTAATATATTCGAATACAAACTTATTTATTTAACAAATATGTAAATAATAAATTAATTATGTTCGAATACAAACTATAAAAATGTTTAAATCACAAAAATGCAAAATTACTTTACGAAAATACAAGAAAAATTATTTGTGTGTGCAATATATATTTAAATATAATTTATTAATTTTTTTAATTAATTTGTTTGTATTTATACATTTTATTATATTTATGATATGTACCATATATATACAGCTTTCTTCGTAAACAGATGTTGAGTATTTAAATAATTGAATTTGCTTCATCCGTATATAAAAACTTATCTTCTTTTACAATAACTTTTTTTCTGATTAATTCATAAGCTTGAACATTTTTATTATCCTTTAATATTACTTTTCTCAACTAACAAAACTAGGATTAACGTAACCACCATTTTGTGATGCATTTGTTGCCTGCAGCGGTGCGGAATTATTGAATTGTTGGAAATTGTAAACAGGATATAGAGGTGCAAATTCACTAGGTCCAAATGTATGTAGTTCATCCTCATTGATATCGCCACGCATTGTATGCACTGATTCCTCATATGAAGGAGGTGCTAAAAATAAATTAAATTATTGAAAAAATTAATACGGTGACTTGTTACTATAAATAACTAATATATACATAACTTACACATGTATATATATTTTATGTATACTTATAACATATTATTACAATAATATATGGTTTTACATATTTTAAATTGTTTTATGAATTAATTAAACATATCTTAATTATTCTACATTTACTACAGCTGCTTATTTTATTCGGATAATTGTTCGAATAATGATATTCCATGGAATAGTTCAAACTATTCTTTAAAGAACAAATAATGAATTATTCGAATAGTTCGAATATGAATAGTTCTAGTATTTACTATGAATTTAGAAAGATATTACTTTATAACTTTTTAACTTACGCATATCGGGATAACTGTGCAAGGGAGTATTTACTAAAGCATTGGATATTATCGATACACTGCGTTTAGTTTCATTCTCTTTTTCTGGTTTGTATATTGAACCATCATCTACCGATTTTTCAATACACACCGCGTTGTTTTCTCCGTCTTCATCAACTGAAAGATCTTGCATATTACGACTGCTACTAGGTTGTTGGTGTACAACGGAATTCCATAATGGCACATTACCAATTATGATAGGCATGGTTATAGCTTGTTTGGAGTGTAAACCTTTCATTCGTGCTTCCACTTCAACCTGATAAACGATCTGTATGATATTGCATGAACGTATACATGTTGGTGGAGTCGATGGCACTGACAATTCTCTGGTAATTGAACGTGTACAATTTCGCAGCACACTATCACCTTTCGCTGTGGCTATTGTGATGCTTTCTACTCGTGAATGCCGTGCCGGATGAGTGCTGAAATAACGCACAAGCATGACTAAACTGAAATTAATTTCTGAAACAGCTATATTTGTATTATTGATAATTAAGGCAGAAACTGGTATATTTTGTCCCGGTACGAAACAAGTTTGCGGCACTTGCAGTTCTAATTTTAGTGGCTCGGTTTTAAAAGGACCGCAGCAAAACGTTTTATAATTTTCAGAATTCATTGGCAACTGTGTTATAATAAAAAAAAATTATTTTCTTTCATTCTCTAATATTACTTGAATTTACTTACTCTTAACACTGGCGCTTCATAATTCAGATCCACTGTTTTTAGAACAGATAAGCCTCTGGTATATGTTTGATCAAATTTCCACGGACGTATAAGTGTCACTTTGACTACATACCTTATTGAACCATAACGGCCTTCAAAGGAAGAAGGACAGTTATGTGGTAGTTGGCAGGCAAATGAATAAGTGTGCACTCCCATGCCTAAAGTGCTCCTAGTATCTATAATTCAAAACAATATTTATCTTTAAAGAGTATTTAAGAAGTGATGTTGTTTTAAAAATATATTCTTTACGTGGAAAGGAAATTTCAGCAAATATAATATTGTAATACTATTACGAACACTATTCAACTATTTATTTTATTTTATAATCTTATTAAGACAGAAATTATACTAGAAAATGTTACTACCTTTGTTACTTCCATATCTTTATTATTGATCAAGTACATGTTGTTCCATAAAAGATCCATACTTGACCTACAATATATTACTTGATCCACAATATAGAAAATTCACTTTTTCACAAAAATACTGAAAGAACTTTACTATATTAAATAGTATATTATAACCATATACCGAATCTTGATTCATTTTTGTTCTAGTTTTCTTATTATTTCAAATAAGAGATATGGTATGTATGTGCAGATATGTGTAACGCGAAGAGCAAGAGGTAAGAAGTCAAATGATTCTCAATCAACTTTATATCATTGACATCGTATCAACTTGATATTATTCAAGTGCATTAGTCCTTCTGATTGTCTATATAACAGCAACTTACAAGTCTACTCCTAGAAATTAATCAAGTGGAGCATTTAACTGTGTCCACTCGTGACTAGGTATTATGTCTGTATATTTCTCAATATATTTTCACTCTGTTTTAAACACTAGGCATATAAATTTATGAATTGAAAAAAACTTGATTGCCTCTAATAACGTAGTGGTTATCTATAAATATAGAACGTATTTACACAGTTTAAACCATTTGACGTAAATTATAAATAATTATTTGAATTAAATTATGTAGTATGCATAGTAGATAAACGGTCAGTATAAACAAGAGAGTCAAGCTTAGCTTTAAATCTTGCTTGATATAACGTTTGAAAAGAGCACTAGTATTTTGATTAAGCTTTCTCTATTTTCACCTTTTTTGAATTTTTAATTATTTAAATTTATTTTAATTACTTACTATCCTCGGAGCCCAATAGATATATTAAAGATGATAAATATTCCTCATGGCCAGCATAATATTTTGAGTAACTTAATTGTTTCTCACGCCATCGTGAAGTAGCTTTTCCTGATACTTTCAATAAAATACCTTAAAGAACAAACATAACTGAATAGAGTAAAACATAGTATAATTAAATAATACGCATAGCATATATCTAAACTTAATATATTATATATAGCAATTTATTCATTATTTGGTCTCTCAGATTTCATACACACTGATAAATTCATCTAGGTCCAACGGATAAAATCGATACCGATTTCCAGTTTGTTTATGTTCACTGAAAAGTATGTATAATAAACGTACATAAAAAATCTGGAATAATAATTAACTAAAAGACTTTATTTTTAAGAATATCAGATAAGTCAGTACTATATTTCTTTAATATCAAACAACTCAATCAATTCCATTTATTATTAGTTAATCTTAAATCAAAATATTTTTGATGGCATTGTGAGTCACTCTATTCAAGAGTTAATTTGTATTTGATAATAAAGACATTGGAACAATACAACAAGATAGCAAATAATGAGTCATACAATTCATTTGATTAAAAGAGTTTATATATTTTATATGAAATTGCATTAGTAAAAATATTAGATGTTGTCAGATTCTTTATTTAAGCCACCTATCCTCAGATAAGTTGGTAAAATATGATTAAAATTATGGTATTTGGATGCGGACATAAAATTTTTACTTATTTCAATTATATCAATTAAGCACCATATCGATGTTATACCTTTTCGTGTTTTTGAAAGTATGAAAGTGTACATTTTTTTAATAAATCTATTGTTAGCCTTTTGTAGTCCAGTAACAGACTAACCATTCCTCTACTTACATATCCATATATGTCAAAATTTTAATATCCAAATATTTTTTATTGAAGAACTTTATAATTAACACCAAGGTTAAATGATCTTAAAAATTAGTTTAAAATCGATTTTCAAATTGTGACTTAAAATTGTAAAAAATCAGGATATATATTAAAGAATCCATAGTTATTTTCCAATTTCTTATTCACAATATCCATTTCTTTTAATAAATAATTTTTTGGAACATTTCTTAACATTTGTAAACCACTGCGATAGTAAATCTTCACAATTATATTAAACGAACACAATTTTGGAAACTTATTATATTTAAAATGTAATAAGTTTACTGGTTATCTGAAGATAGTAGTAATCATAAACAAATAAAAATGCAGGCATTAACTCTTTCTTAACTCTTTTCAATATCAAAAGTTTGTGTTATTTTTAAAAAAAATTTTTTAAAGCTTGTATATTGCCTAGAAATTACTATCGAGTGTAAACTAAGATTTACTTATAAGGAACTTTATTAAGATTTTGTTCCACATCTTTTTTTAATATATTGCACTTGAATTATATTTTTCATACGCAAAATTTTTTTTTCCGATAAAACTGAGCTTTTATCAAAGGTAGCATTCACTATAGTTCTTTCTTTCCGAAAAAAATGGAATACAGGATTTCTTTTAAATAGTTCTAACACCACAATCTTCACAGATTGTTCCAAGATAGATTGTTGTGTCAACGCAATAATTACTTAGAAAGTCTAAGCATCAAAAAGTCTGTACATGATCCCAAGTCGGTCATGGTTTTATTAGTCTATAAGTGTTTATCGGTCTAAAAGTGTTCTTAATTGAGGAAATATGCCAATAGGACTCTAAACTCGTATTCATTTACAAACAACACAACTATTCCTTTAAAGATATCGATTGTAGTTCAGACTCTAAGGTCAACTACAACAATATCTCACCTAGTGAAACAACCACATTCAGTCAAGAGTATTATATTTCTTATTTCAAAAATGGACTGTCAACAAAAGGATTTTACACTACTGGAGATAAATAAAGTACAATTTTTAGCAAATTTTATCGCTGATAAGCAAGGGTGGAATGGATGTTTAGTGGCAATTATCAGTAACTTTTGGCATATCAGAGAACTGACATTCGAAATAGTAATCACTCACAATACTTGTTATAATAGTTAAAACCAGCAAGAATAAAAAAAAACTATATTCCGTTTTCGTTCTACACTCACACCTCTTTCAAAGCAGTAATCTTGGGTAAAGGTTTTTAAGCTACACGAATTAGAGTTAACCAAACTGCTCTCATAAATAACCGATTACACAACATAAAAAGGATGTTGATTCAAAACGTCATGAAAGCGCTTATAATACTCACAAATTGAGTTGACGCATCAATTAACTAATCAAAATTTTAACCGTCAATCATATGGTATAAAGTATTATGTCTTAAAAATCAATTTTCTTAAAAACAATTGCGTAACCATAAGGTATTAATATACAAAAAACTAACAAAACATATTATAAAAAATTGGAGAATAATAAAGTTTTCCGCTAAAATGATTGAAAAATTTGGAGAAAACCTAAGCCTGAAATCCTATCTATTCCATAATCAAACAGGTAGAAGAACAAGCATGTTTAAAAACTTATGAATAGGTATAAAAATGGGATTTAATTAATTTTGAAGACAGTCATTTATATGATTGCATTCTTTTTTGGTTAGTCCTTTCTTTAGCACCTTGTACTTCGGCGTATACTTAAAATATCTGTATGTTTTTTTCCGTTTCATGAACCAGCATTTATACAGTCGAGAATACCTTGTATCTCCTTTCTTAGCAGTTTCTACTTCGGTTATTACTTAAAATTCCAGTAGATATGTTTCTTTATTTATCCGTTGAAGTCGAAAATACCTTGTAAATCAATTCCTTTATACACAGAGCTGAGAATAAAGTCTCTAAAGCAGTGGTTTCCAACCTTTTTTTGATTAATGATATATTTGTTTTTAGTAAGAACCACAAAGTTTAACAATAATAAACTATATAATTATTTTAATATGCTTTATGCATTATATGTATAATGTATATAATATGAATTGTATGAGTACATAGGTACATTATTCAGGCTATAATATATAATTATATAATTACTTAGAAATTCTTTGTGTTTATTTTCTAATAAGTGAGGTCTAAGTTAATAAACTACAAGCTATGTATCCATACCTATTCAATTTGATTCATGTACCATTCTTAACCATTTCGTGGACCAACAGTTGGGCACCACTGCTCTAAAGGTGAACTTACAATTTATCGAACAATTCAATAGTTTAACCAATAAGTAATGCAAATAAAATAATAATTTGTAATCTTAATTAAAACCGCAACATTACATTTAATAATCTTATCATTATTTAGTAAGATAGAAAAAAATATTAATAAAAGCTAAACTACTAACAAAGGAAGTGAAATTGAATATAAACTATAGTTATAATACTTAACGAAGAATTCTTGCATTTATATATAAATACACCCTTTATCAGTGTTCATATACATACCAATCAAAACATTGTAATTAAGTGGATTAATTAATTATATTTTATACTGTAAAAAGTGGCATAGATAAGGATTTTTTTGTGCAATTAAAAAAAATACTTGGAAGGTATGAAAGCTCCGAAACATATATTTTAAAGGCAATATTCGTAATTACACTTCTCCTTTACCTTCATCCTAAATTATTGTAACAGGACAATTTTAACAGTATAACTATTAACAAATTTCGCCTTAACTAAAATTATACAACTAAACCAGATGGGTTATTCTAATTAGTAGTTTCTTTAAAGATAGGTAACAGCACAACTATACCTAAAAGCTTCTCATAGGTTTTTAATCTAGTCAGTAATATCAAATGAGATCTCATATAAGTAAAGGATATGCGTAAAATACACAACACATGTTTTTAAAGAAACAATTACGATATGCCTCCCATTTCAATATTGTGCTACTAAAAGTTTTGATAGAGGTTGCCGAAACTGTCTTCTTTACATGAAAAAAGCTTTTCTTTGTACTTTACAATCGCACTATGCATATTGTTGATCCGTACCTTCAATAATATAATATAATTTTTTAAATCTTCAACTGTGATAGATAATATCCTAATATTGATATCTCGAAAAGTAAATTATATCGATGTATGACGTAGTGTAGAGTGAACATAACTTTCTCTAAAGCAATAGTTCCCAACCAGTGGTCAGCAGACTACAGGTCGTCCGCGAAAAGGTTAAAAATGGTTTCAATCAAATTTAACAGGTATAGATAAATACCTTGTAGTTTGTCCACGAACTTATTAGAAAATAAGCCCAAAAAATTTTGAAGTAATTATATTGGTATATAGGTATAGGTATAACAAATAGGTATTTCATAGTCTATAATGTACCTATGCATTTATACAATTTATTATACATTATACCAAAGATGCAATAAGCATATTAAAATAAATACAAAGTTTATTATTCTTAAACTTTGTGGTCTCTACTAAAAACAATAATATCCTAGTGGACATTAGTCAAAAAAAAATGAGAACTACTGCTCTAAAGTATGCCTCAAAAGTCAGAGTCGCGCCGAAATTTTATTTTCTTTTAAGAAATTATTTTTTCAGAACTGCATGTAAAGTTATTAATTTAAAAATAAAAATTGGTTAAAAATTAAATAATGGATGAATAAAATATTATGAAACTAACAAATAAAATATATCGATAAGCGAAGCAACTAAAAATAAATTTCTAAACGAAAGATAATTGATAGTCCAACTGATAATCAACTAAATATATATTATGAGCAGTGGTATAAATTTAATTGACAAAAAAAATTAATCGTTTAATTTAAATAAACTCCAGACTATGCGACCATTTGCCTAATTATTAAATATTGAATATTTGCTAAATACAGAAAATATTTACTGTATTAAGATTAAATCGCACACGAGTGTAGGAAAAGGGAAAAATTATTTATCGGGGTTGCTAACTATTTAATCAGTAGAAATTATCTTACCGGAATTCCAGAGATACCGAACATAACGCTATCGTACAATGTTATCATGCATAGTTTAACTAAATTCCGTTGGTATTTACCAGAAGCAAAAAAAAAAATTAAATCGTTGTGCAAATAAAAACCCAAATAACAGACAGAATACTAAATTCGAATGAAACATGTCTCAAAAGCAACCAAATTTTATGAGTATAAACTCCCAGTTCACATCTGACCCCGATTCAAAACACGTAAAAAATCCGAATTTGTACATAAAAACGATGCCATTCGATTTGGTGCACTATGAACTCTTCCGCAAACACACACACATACCTTTCACATCCTTGGCTTTATCGGCTTTCAGTATGACCGTGCCAGTGACCATTTGGCCAGAAAAAAATGTACCAAACCGATTCCCATCGAATTCAATGATGCACGTTACAACCATTTCGACGGAACGCTAGGGAAATACTAAACTAAAAAATTTCGTCTAATTCTTTTCCTTTTGTGTTACTGTTGTTGTTGTTGTTGTTGTTGTTGTTGTTGTTGTCGGGTCTGTAAGTCGGTTTAGTTGTTTGTACTAAGGCCAATTTAAGCAGAGTGTGTGATAAGTGATAAGTGATAAGAGCGTTCACAACATTCAAAAATATTCTGCAAAAACCTTTCAAAGCATTCAACTCGATTTTTATGTGTGAGTGTTAAACAAAAGCGACTGGTGACGTTTTGCGATAAATTTATTAAAATATTAAATTAATAAACAAAAGGCAATAGAAACTTTTATTTATATTTTTATTGCATAATTACTGATAAGATTTTGGACGGCGTACAAGTGTGTTTAGAAATACACAACTTGTGGCAAAAACAAAAAAGTAAAAACAAAATCAACAATTCGTTCATAAATAATAAAATATCAACAATAAATTGTTTAACAATAATTTCTGCAACAACAAAATTATCAAATCCGTTCAAATATGACATCAAGAAAAATTTAATAAAACTATAACCAAGTGCCCTTGCCATCACTTTGATTGACCATTGCTACGTCATCTGCTGCCGGTGCTGTGGGACTCGGTATATTGAAGACAGGATATCTGGGCGCAAAGTCACTCTGTCCATAATCGTGCTCGACATCTGCATTAATTTTTGCATGTTGCATGTGTGTAGCTTCCTCGTAGGATGGTGGACCTAAAACAATCGAAAGGTTTATCAAAAATCTTTTATTAAAAATTTAATGGCACATAAATTCAAATAAATGAAATTCTCCATTGAAGCCATAATTCACAAAAGCTGAACAGCTCAATTTACTCACCAATATTAGCATTTGTTGCCCAAGGAGTTGCTACAGTATGTGCATCATTTACCACCGAACCATTTACTTCTGCTGAATCTGCCGCACCAGCTTCTGCTTCATTTGCATTCTTATTTGCATAAGTATCTGCATTTTGTATATCGCCAGCATTAAGAGCAGCTGCACTCTCGGAAAAAGTACGTGCCATCATTGCTGAGCTGGAAGTTGGTTGCTGTGCCACCACACTCATAAGTGGAACATTACCAATAGTCACTGGCGTACTTATTACCTGATTTGCATGGTAACCAACTACTTTGGCCTCGACCATGACTTCGTAGGCAATTTGTATTAAACGGCATAGATTGAAGCATGTTGGCGGCGTTGCTGGTACATGCAAATGATAAGTGAATTGTTTATTACAGTTCCGTGGCACGGACTCGCCTTTGATTTTCGTTACAGTCGTGCGTGACGTTTTTGCATGTGTGTAGGGGCTTTGACTGTAGTAGCAAACAAGCATGACTAATGCGATTTTTAACTCATCCACCGGCACATTGCTTTCATTCGCAACCAACACACTAACCGGTATCGCTTGACCAGGAACGTAACCTGTTTGTGCGAGCGTTATATGCACCTTCAATGGATCCGATTTGCATGGTCCACACCAATAGGTCTTCTGTACTGCGGTATCGGCTGGCATCTACATTGAAATATGAAATGTGTAATTGTGTAAAACAAATTGAAAAAAAAATTTTAATAAAATTAAATTTTTAAAGTCATTAAATATTTTAAATTTCTTTAGGGATTTAAAATAATCAATTCAGTGGATGCAGCCAAGAAGATGCCAACCTCATGGCGAGGTGTCAATTTATACTTCAGGATATGAATTAAAACAATTCTTTTTCTTGTAAATAAATGTCTTTATATTTTCGCACTTCAAATATTTTTTGCTTCCTATTAAGTATACAATATACAATGTTTACATCTTAAATTCGCCAATTATTATAAAGTTGCTTATCATCAGCCTCAGCTAAAGAACTAGAGTATTGATTACCGTTCAAATATCATTTCAAAATAATGTTATTTGAATAATCAATTAAACCAACATTATACATGAAATAATCTTATCTTAAAGTCGGTTTTATTTTTTAATGCATTTTAGCTTTTATTTCAATCATTATTGTTTGTATATACATATCTATACATATTTCGGCAACTTCGCTTTTTCCTTCATCAGGAGAATTCCTAATATTTTCCTAATTAGCAAAATAATCGATTTATGCTAATTTTATTTTATAGAATTAACAAAGTATGCAGTGACTAAAACTGCATATTTTAAATGCAACTCTGTTATACATATATTTTTTTTTCCTTTGGAAAAACATTTTTTTCTTTCCTGTGGAAAAACATTTCTCAGATCTTCTTAAGTAAAATCCTAATTAGATTAATTCAATTTATAATATAAGAAAGATAATTGTTAATGTATCAACGTTTTGTATATCACTCATTCGATCAGAAACATTTTCATGGCAGAGGGTAATAATCTGATTACTTTAGAACAATCATGTAGAAATATTCTTTGTATAGAAATAAAATGTCATTCTAAATATTACAATAAACCTGGAAATTAATTATTGAATTAATAAAAACCCTTATATATCAAGAAAAGCTGCTAGATTCCACCCTTTAAAAAAAAAGTTATCTTCTAGCGGTGTTCTCTGACCTGTCCCTGCTATAGCATATTGAGCATATTAAGAATTATAAATCTAACTCTGTTTTAGAAAGTTTCGTATAAAGAAATCTAAATTTTGTCTAAATCCTTGGAAAGTGAATTATTAAGATAACTACAAAAATGAAATTATAAACAATTTGAACTGAAGCATATATGAATGCAAAAATATTTCAAAATTAATGTTTTACCTGCACAAAACATTATGAAATTGTTTGATTTAGTGATTCGATACTCTGTCCTATCTGTTCTATGGTTTTTTTTCGCATTCTATGCTTTTTTGTTTCACTAAAGTTTACTAATCAAAGTTTTTGATTTAAAACTCTTTCTGTCTAAAACCGACCTATGGCTACCTCTTTTACGTCAAGTATATTCAAAATAATATATATGACTAGTGTGAATATTTGTGTATAAATCAACAAAATGTTCAACTTGTTGAATAAATAATCTATAATATTGAATTGCGATTATAATCAATGGTATATTTTTAATTCACAAGAATTTATTTAATTTTTATCTGATATTAAATTATATTACTTGAATTGTTCTTTTCAAAAATTTTAAAATAAATATATCCCACAATCAACTCACCCTTAGAAGTGGACTATTATAATTCAGATCCATTACTTTCAATACTGTAAAGCCTCTTGTATATGTTTGATCAAACTTCCAAGGACGCATTAGTACAACTCTTATCGTATATCTAACATGACCTTCAACTCCTTCAAATGACGACGGGCAAGCGGCTGGTATATGACAGGAAAAATTATAAGTATGGATACCAGGCTCAATATATACAGACTGACCTAGTAAAAAAAGTATGAAAAACATGTTAAAATCAGAAACTATAAAAATTTTATTCTTCTGTATGCAAACCGTTATGAAATCGAATGGTTATATTTTCATATTAGCATAAAAATCTTTCCTCTTGATTTGATTGCATATAATTACATTATATATAATTTTAAGTTATAATTATATAATTACATTATATGTAACGTATACAATAACTTCTACTACTTATATGGATGTGAATTGTTTGTAATACGTTTGTTTTTTTTGTAAAAGTATATATGACTTTTACTAAAAGTTCTATAAATTTTTGTTGTATAACTGTCATAATATAAATAATAATTATATTAATCTACATATAGAATAAAATAATAAAAGTCTTGTACAATCTGTCGCATATAATTCATTATTCAATGACTATGTATATATATAGATATGTAATTTTGTAAATTAATTGAATAACGTACTTTGATCGGAACCCACTAGATAAGTTACTGAGGCTATATAATCCTCATGTCCACTGTAATGAGTAACTCTTCTTCTTTTTCCAGCACCTCTTCTCTCTGACCAACAAGTGTGCGCAAAACCATTTATTTTTAAAGCGACAGCTAAAAATGTAAAATAAAATTAAAATATTTAGAATAGATATAAATTAAATAAATTTATGTATGTATATAAAATTGTAAATGGTTTTTATAATAAAAAAAAAAAATTAATTGTAAAATGTTTTATTTTTTTTGTAAGCAAATTTATATGTGATTTAGTAAGTTTATAAATTATAAATACGGATATGGAAATTACGTTAATGAAGTAATTAACTAATACTATAAAATAAAATAAATAAAGTTAATATAATAAAATTGCTAAACAAACTTCCTAAAAAGGAAATTCAATAAATTTAGTGAAAAGTTTGTTTCTGATTGGTACATTGTAGCGAAGTGGTGATAGCCTATTATGTGAAGTAAAATACGTACACAGTTAATATCATACCAGTATCACTATGCCTATTAAAAAAGTGTTGGCAAACAAATGCTGACTAAATGAGAAGTAAACTTACTAATGAAGTCAGAAATATACATATATGTAAAAATCTCAACGGAATTGAAAAACAGAAAATTTTTTTGGTATATTTTTAAATTCACAATAAATATTAATAAATCATAACTTATATAACATATAAATATGTGTTATATCCCAGTAGTTAATATTTCCTAACATTCCTACAAACGAATACACGCATACCTTCTGCTCAAAAAGTACTCGGATTTTGTAAATAAAACGCACAAATTTAAATTTTATTCCAAATTTATTTTATCTTCTTCAAAATATGCTCCTTCTGAAGCGATACACATATGCCAACACTTAACTCAATCTTTCATACACTTTTCGTAGGCCCGTGAAGGTATAGCTTTTAGTTCCTTCAGCGAATTCTCTTTGACCGATTCAATCTACTCAAAACGCTTACCACGTAAGGGCAATTTGAGTTTCAGGAACAGGAAAAAGTCGCACGGATCCAAATCTGGTAAATATGGTGCCTGAGCGATGACAGTGGTGCCGTGTTTAGTCAAATAATCGCATACTACAAGAATTTTCCATAGTAAAAATCGTTAAATGCACATGAGGTAATCTCACATTAACAGCTGCTGTAAACAAACTGACAGATTGCGCTCAAATTTGTACCATTTATCAAGAAGGGATGTGTACATAACAAAATTTTTTGAAAAAAGTCTATTACTTAAGGAGTAGTTAACAAACAACAAATCCAGATACTTCTTGAGCAAAAGGTACATGCAAAAGGTACATAACTGTAAATACATGCAACAATATCAGCAGCAGAGAATAATAACCCATTCACACTACAAACTAAAAGTTTCTACTGGAAATAGACTTAAATGTCCATTCACATTTCACGTTTACTCTCACAGCAACAACAATTAAAAATTTAAGTGAAACATGCGAATAATGAGAGGCAATCAATGCGATTTTGCAATAATACTGCAATAATGCGAAAATTACGGTAATAACTCTCGTGTAATACTAGAGAGCACAAAGAAAATAAACAAAAATTTTTAAGTGAAAACGTAAGTGACCTCTGTCATCTTGCTCTAGAACATTGTAAGAAAATTTGAAACCAACAAATAAATAAATTTACCTCAAATGAAATCACAAAAATTTTAAATATTTGTCATATGTTTTATATATAAAGTGTAAACAAACAACAGTTGATAAACTTACTAAGAAATAAAACATTTAATAACATCTTTCTTTGTATTAATTTTTTTGTTTTTTTTTTTTTTTTTTTTTTTTGCGGCAAGGAGGAGTGGAATGCCTACGCACTGACCACCTTCCGGCGCCCCGCAAGGTGAGTGACCGACTCGCACGGGCTAAACCACTCCCCCTCATTCCTAGAGACCTTGTTCTACCCCGGGACTACGTTAGTATTACTTCGAGGTAGGGTCCCTATTAGTCATTTAAGACTTCCATCGGTGTGCCCTGCGTCCAGGCTCCGCTACTGTTGCAGATAATTAATCTTGCCCTACAGTCTACTTTTTCCAATCTCAGAGTATGTGTTCCGGCTCTCATTCGTGCTCTTCGTTTAAGATTAGATTGCGTCCAGATCTTTCTTCTTTTCTCTTAGAACATTTCCGATGAATTGCGTGATTTTGTTCCAATTTTCTGCTCGTTCTATCATTTTTTCTACAATATTATCTACTGTAAAGTGACCTATATATCCTGCAAGTAGTGTTCTTTCTCCACGCCATCTTTCGCAGTTGAAGAAAGTATGCTCAGCATTGTCCTCGACTGATCCGCAATATATACAGTTGGGCTGCTCTGCTTTTTGCATTTTGTATAGATATTTTCGAAAATATCCATGACCAGATAGGAACTGTGTGACATAATAGTCAATCTCGCCGAAATTTCTTTCCGTCCACGACTTTACGTTCGGAATCAGCTTTGCCGTCCATCTTCCTCTTAAATCGGAGTTCCACCGTTGTTGCCAGATCTGAAAAGTTTGTTCTCTTATATCTTGAAGGTCTGTTGAGTTGCTTGTCGATCTCTGTTTCCAGCGTTTCTTCCGTTCATGTGCCTGAAGGTCGATAGGGATGATTCCACTAATCACCAGAACTGCAGGCTCGGATACGGTTCGATATGCAGAAGCTACCCGAAGTGCAGCAGTCCGCTGTACAGCTGCGTAAACTTTCCTCCTACATTCAACCTTTAAGGCGTTTGCCCAAATCTCGCACCCGTAAAGTAATATTTGATTTGTGGTCGCCATAAGTAATTTTCTTTTACTCTGGGTAGGACCTCTCACGTTAGCCATCAGTCTTCCTAGCATCGTAACAACTTTGCTTGCTTTTGCCGCTGCTTGTTTTATTTGAGCCCAATAAGACAATTTAGAGTCTAGTTTCACCCCCAAGTATTTGATCTCCTTTTTCGTATATATGGTGCTGTCGCAAACGAGCATTCCAATTTCCAACGGTATATTACGTTTAGTGAGTACCAGCAATTCAGTCTTTTCGGTGGCGAGTTTAAGACCGTGTGCATTTAGCCAATTTTGCACTTGTATCAACACCATGTTGAGCTTCCGCTGAGCATTTTCCGTATTTCTTGCCGTAATTACTGCTGCAATATCATCTGCAAAAGCAACGAGGTGTGTGTCATCAGGCATCTTGGATTGCAGAATTCCATCATATACCACGTTCCACAAATCGGGGCCCAAAATAGATCCTTGTGCTACACCTTGTGTAATATGTGTTAATATGTGTAATTGTGTTAATATGTAATAGATTTATAATTCATTTAATATATGAATTATATATTTTATATATAATAAACACATAAAATCTTTCCTGTGCTATAAGTAACTTATGTCAATAGAAATGATAAAATCTTAGTAACTTAGCTAACTTACTAAGTAAGCAGTGGAAACACTGTATAAGTTCGCCGCTTTTGTTTATTTCGTTCCTGTCAAATACATAGGTATGGTTGGCTGTTTATTTCGCTTCGGTTAAGTTCATACAGTACGTACCGACTGATTTCACCTTTAAAACTCAGTTAGTTGGTACGTACAGTAAGAACTTAAGTTAAAGCGAAATGCACAACCAACCACACCTGTGAATTTAATAGGAATGAAACAAACAAAAGCGCCGAATTTTTTTTATGTCATTCCCAAAAACAAAAGCGGCGAATTTTATTTATTTTATTCCAATCAATTACACACGTATAGTAGATTGTGCATTTCGCTTTGGCTTAAGTTCTTACGGTACGTACCGACTAACTGAGCTTTTAAGTTCCCTTACCTTCATTTATATTAAATTTGATTAAATAACATTATATAATAAGTTAAATTTTTTGCTTTTTATATCTATACTTATATTATAATTTTTTTTTAACTCATTTAAAAAAAATTTAAATGAACAACAAAAAAAATAGTTTTTTGTGAATTCTTTATCCAAATCAATACAATAGCACATGTAATTAATAAGGCAATTTTCTACAAAATGTATTATTTGCTATGAATTTTTTTTAATTATAATATACATATATGCGAATACTATACATTCTATTATTTTTAATTTTGTTGTTTCGCAATGAAATAATTTCTTTTATTTTTGTTACTTAATTACCAACTGCTTCACTCTCTCACCAAATCGCACATTAGTCTGAACAACCTCATAAAAACTATTGTATTTCAAAAATTATCAAACGCTTGTGAATCCCCACAATTGAAGAATTTTTATCGAGTGCTGCAATCCAAAAAACGCTTTTGAAAGGCAGCGTTACCATATGAATAGTCACAACGATTGATATAATTTATTTAACAGCAAAGTAAATAGAACAGTTAAGTAAACTTATATAGCTGCGGTTTATGCATTACAGCTCTGCGTTCAACCTGAGCGTTCATATATTTAAAAATCAAATTTTTGAATGTAAGAGTTTCGTTACTATCTAAAATTAATTTAAATATATAAAATAATTATCTCAAATTTTTGCAGTGTACTTCATGGCTTTAATTATAACTTTCGCAGTTTTAGAAAATTAATAAATTAAATATGAGTATTTAGCTTTACTATGTGAAATTGTTAACAGGTTAACCTACCAAACGCCAAGCAAATGATAAGATTTTATTTACCAACAGTGATGACTCATTCGAAAATTTTAGCGAGCAAAAGGGGGAGTTTGATTTGATTAATTTGCACTTAAATTAAATAAGTAGTGATTTATATGTTACATACAATATATTTGCAAAATAATATTTTAGAGTATTTTATATAACACAAATATTACATATACACTCACATGAATTCTAAAATGTGAGTTCAAAAATTCGAAAAAATATTTTCGCAGATAAAGTTTAAAAGTAATTAAAACTTCAACAAATGTGAAATAATTCAATCTGATATTTAATATTTCAAAACTACGCAAAATTTTAAATACTGTAATTATTTAAATTTACTAATCGCTTTAAAACATTACACATTTAGCGCCATACATATTGTCTCAAATCAGTAAAGAGTAAAACTTAGGTATCTATAAAAATATTTTCAAACAATTAATCAAATGCACATAACTTTTTAATAAGAGTTCAGTATCATTATTTCACCATATCTTAAACACAATCATATATGAAATATACGAAATCAGTTAAGAACTCGATTAATTGAGAGCAGTACTTACTTCTATAAATAAATAAATATATAAATATATCGGAAAGAAGGCTATAAAATTGGCTTATATTGAGTCATTTAATTATATTATGTCAGCATAAGTTAATGATTTCTTTGAATCAAACACTAACCTTTGACTTGCTTCATCTTTTCCGATTTAAGTGTAATTTTTCCAGTGAGCATTTGCCCGGCAAAATATGTGCCATAAGGACTATTATCAAACTCAATTTCACAAGTCACAACCATTTTTAAATATTTTTTAATTGAATGTTGCTACAATTTATTATTTAAATTTTTGTTATTTCTTATATTTATTTAAATTCTTATTTAATATTTTATTGCATATGAAGTATTTATTTTGTCTTGAAGAAAGTGCACATTAATTAACCCATTAAGTTTTAGTTCGCTATGCGTACTGAAAACTTTATTGCCAAAGCCACCGTTGTTACCTTTGTTTAGGTCTGAGTCATCAACACATTTTTTTATAATATTTTAAAAATAAATACTGTTTAGACATTAATAATACAACTAAAAGTTCCAATATCGGCACAATACTATCAATATTTCGATAACACTAAACAGACCGATTCTGTACGTTGTGACCGTACTGGAAGTGCCTAAAATTGAACTAAAATTGAACTCGGGAAGGCAAGAATTTCAAATTGTTTGTAGTAATCTTATCAATAATTTTAAAAATAAACAACAAATGGTTTGTACCCGTGTACTGGAAATGTAATATGCAACAGATAACTTGGAATATCGATATCAATATTTAGATAATATTATAAAATATCTAGCATCTATGAACTTCACTTGTTGACTTGCTGTTAAAGTTAGATAAAAGTTTTTCAGTTTGTTAAAGATGGTCAAGGGAAGAACTTTGCATAGATATTTTATATCAAAATTATTGAAAAAGCTGGTATTAGTGGTTTTTACTTAAACAATTTTTATTTGTTTTTATGAAAAACAATATTTGGATCGGAAATAGCTGTGTTTAATAATTCAGAATAAAGAGGCTGTTACGCAAATCTTACATCAAACTTCAATAAAATAATTGCAAACTCTTCAACGTTTTTAAGTGGAATTTTAATTAAAAATTCAGTAATTAAATAATTATTGGTTTTAATTAAATTTTATATATATTGTAAATTTATTAGTTCATTTTTAGCAAAAAAAATATCAGTTTAACAAAATAAACAATTAGTTCATTGATTACTAATTTTTTATCAATAGAAAGAGGAAAGAAATAATTTATATAACTTATTTCTAAGTTAAATTACTTATCCTAATAAACAGCTTGGTTTAAAATATGACTGAATGCAGCAACTTCAGCATTAGTCAGATGTTTACTTTAAGTCACGACTTTCAGAAAATCCAAAAAAAACAGAAGAACATAACTTAAATTTTTAGTGATTTTATCTAACTTCAAGAAAACTATAATACTTATATTCAGCTCCATTATTATCAAAAATTCTGAGCCGTGCAATATCAAACAAGTATTCAGGCTACTTCTCATGTGCCGTCTTTAATGCTAATTGTGATGCTGATTATGTATTCCGTCGATAATGTTACTGTTGGTCTAAATACTCACGCGAACTGTGCGGATTTTTCCAACATAAGACACACAATCGGAACTAATATAGTTTGGAATAGTTCAAGACAAAATGAAGTACCTTTGGCAACAAACAAACTTTCTGTGCATCTTAGGATCCATGCCCCTACTTAAAACTATAATTTAATATATATATAATAGGTTCAGTTAGGTTATACCGGTGATCCTCAGGGGGTCCACTTGGACTTATTTGCCCATTGTATTGCCGTATAAAGAAGAAATTCAAAGTTGAAAACCACCTAGAAGCTTTGGCGAAGCTTAGACTGCTGTTTAGTGGGAGGTCTTGTAATTGATCAAGATTCTCAGAGAAGGGGACCTCTAAAGTGTTGATTCGCCGGCGTGCATGAGCTGGGCAAAGACAAAGTAAATGAAAGGCACTTTCATTCATTATAAATATAGAGAGTTTGAGAGTTTGGATAATAACCACGAATGTAGAAAATACCGAACGTATTGGTTAAGAGTATTGAAAGAAATGGAATAGTGGGCTGTATCAGCTATATCACAACATTGACTTAGCTGAACGTATTAAAATTTGAGAACCCTGCGGTTGTCTCGGTTATATCGAACGAATCAATGAAAATGTGCCAGTTAAAAAAGGTTTCAATTCGGTTGGTACTGTTAAAAAACAAATTAAAGAACGTTTACTTCAGTTATAATTAATAATCGATCTGACGTTACTCAACACTCGACTTGCAGCGTCTACGACAGCTACCCGATGATAAGGCTGCAGGCAGAGTCTATTACACATGGCTAAGTACGATACTGATTTGTGAAGGGCTACTAAAGAAATTAGTCTGAATTGTTTTTTCTTATGAATTCGGCTTAAAATGTTCTATATATATTAGGGGGATTATATTAAGAATTTCTTTTCTTAAGGACCCATATTGGAAATAATAAAAAAAATAAAAATTTAAAAAATATCGCAAAAAACTTAGACCATTTGGATTCTTTTTTTATGTGGTGGAGCAATACAATTCCAGCGGTCTTAGATAAGATCATTATACATAAGCATTTAGGTTTTGCGTTAATGTAATATTGAGTTACTGCAGCATCAAATTTTTTTCCTACAAAAATTGTTCTTTATCCTTTAATATGGAAACAATGCGACTACAGATTTATTATTACTAAAGTTCATTACTGCAGCTTTGTTTCAAGCACTAAAACATAAATCACGGTTTTCTAAGACCACTGATGAATACTTGGGAACACCCAAAATAAGGTTGTATAGTCTGTCAAATTTCTATAAATTTTTGTTGTTGACTTTTCATTTCTATTTGAACCTTTTCAACTCTTAAATAGTTTTTTTTCATCATGAGATACGTTACTTTCAGTAAAAAAAATTAACATTACAAATAACGGTTATTTCACCTTCAATAATTACATATACAAGCTTTGGTTATATTTTCTGCAAATAAGATATTACACATTTAAGTCCAAGCATATCTTATATGTTTGTTATCAAATTTATTTTATAATAGTAATATATGCTGGTATATACCTACATATTAAATTTTTATTTAATATGTTTCATATTTTAAAATTTATCGCAAACTATATTAGAATATTATTTTTATTATTTAATGTCAATTAAAATCATCAAAGTCAAACAATAATGCCTTTATTCCAAGATTATTACAGGTTGTATAATATCACAAAATATTATTATTGTAGAATTTTTATGTCAACACAATTTAAAGATATATTATTTATAACTACTAAAAGCAATCTTATCTCGGTTGTTGTTTATTGCTCAGCAGTATCTTTAATTTACGCTTATATCGGTAATCATATGTTACCATATTTGATACGTGATTATGCTGATTTAATCATTATCGTTCTTAACATCCGACCAACTTCCTGTCACATCGATTATATACTCATCAAACTTTATCATTTCCTTTGTCAATTAAATTTAATTAATTGGAGCCTTCAAAATCCGAATTTTTTGGTATCAAAATATTTTCGTTATTATAATGATTTTCTTCAAAGCAGATTTTTCCACCAGTCGGAAGAGTTGCTTCTTCATAAGTCGGAAGTGCTAAAAGAATAATGATATAAAAACCAATATAAATTATGTATTTTTAAGTCAACAGTGTGGGTTGTATGTATTGTTTCTCTTATTAACTAATTTACTCCCTCATTGAATTATTACAGCTGTGAAGAAAAGTTGAACCCATATATGGGAAACAATGGTGTGTACAACTACCGTGACATAAGAGTAAAAGACTTTAACTGAATAAGAACTGGAGACAAAGAAAAAAGATGAATACTCCAAGTCAATTTTTTTATCGAGTTGGTATATGCTACATCTAAATCATTATATGTGGTTTAATACATTTCTCCCAAACTATTGTATATATATTACATGTTTCAAACTAACCAGAATTCGTAGTGTTAACATCACTATTTATGATGGTTTCGTTACGTTGACTCTCGTCTTGTATTTTAGTGTTCATTTCACTAGACGTCATTACGGATTTTTGAAGTATTTCATTTTTCTGTGGTACTTGCTCAATAATGACTGGTGCACAAATGACATGATCAACGCGAACACCCTTAAGTTTTGCTTGTACTAAAATTTCGTAAGCAATTTCTAGTATACTACAACCAAAGCTGTTACTTGGTGGTGTGGCAGGAACTTGCAGTTCATAATTGAATAATTTTTTACAGTTGCGTTGTACTCCGACAGATTTAATAGCGCTTAACGGAATCCGTTCTCTTTTCGTTATCCTTAAAGGCTTCTGACTATAATAAAATACAATCATACAAAGTGTAACATGTATTTCCTCGACAGGTATATGACTGTCATTTGTAACCAACAACGAAATGGGTATTTGCTGTCCAGGCACAAAACCACTCTGTAACAGATCTAAGTCCAATTGCAATGGTGCCGATTTATTTGGCCAACTGCTAACTGTCTTCTGTGCAGAAGTGTGCACTGGTTGCTTTATAAGACAAAAAAAATATATCAAATATATGTTATTAACTTCATTTGATTTAAATTTACCAACAGCAAATTTGGTTCGTAATTAAGTTCTTTTATTGTTAATACGGTAAAGTCTTTTGTGAATACCAGATCAGATTTCCACGAACGTGTAAGTGTCACTTGCACTACATATCTGATATGCCCAAAACGACCCACAAAAGAAGTGGGACAATGTGACGGAATATGGCAATCAAAACTGTAAATATGTTTACCTGGTTCTATTGTGACTTCGGATTGTCCTGATACAAGTATATATGAAAAAATTCAATAAATTTTGAAGTTCTTAATATATGTTACTTCATACTTGCCTTTATCGGTACCTAAAATACATACTGATTTTGCTAAGTAATCCTCACGTCCCGTATAATATGTGCTGGGTATATATGTCGTTTTTCCTTTACTATCCGTGCTCGACGAACTTGTTTTTTCTGACCATTTTATATTAGCAAAGCCAGCAATTTTAACTACCACAGCTTTAAAATACATGCAAATTTCATGTTATTAAATATTTTCATTACTTTTTCAAGATATTAAAGCACCTTTGATTTTTTTCGGCTTATCTGCATTGAGTATTACTTTACCCTTAAGAATTTGGTCAGCGAAATATGTGTCTGAAGAACTATTATCGAACTCTATTACACAAGATACTACCATATTGTTAATATTTTATTTTATGTTATCCCTTCCTCAATATAAAAAATATTTGTGCTAAATACAAAAAACGTACGCACCTCTGTTGATCTGTAAGCAGACTAACTTGTCAGCACTAAGTAATTTGAATAGTTGCAAAAATGTTGATTTTTACACTAAATATATGTTTTGATATTTATAATCGTTATCGGTTACTCGTGTTGATAAGAATAACATATCCTCACAATTGTACGGATATGCAGACCTTCACACACCCTACATCGTATTTCTTAATAAAAGTCGCTACGAGGAGAGTAACTCTTCTACTTGGTATTAAAAAATTGCATTGTATATTATAACAAGCTCAGTCTATAAGGAGTCTATAAAACTACAGTTTTTAAATTATAACAGATAACTCTGACTTAGTTTCTATTTTTGAGATTAGACCACACTTTATATGTTGCTACTTATTACTTCCAAAATATGTATCTTAAGGATAAGACAAACGTTACTTTACTAATGTAATTTACGATTTAAAATCGTACCGCAACGGTACTGCACTCAAAACAATTCACCACTTGGTACACGCCTGTCGTACCTTGTGATCAAAAAATAACGAGAATTTTAATTTTCTGAATTCCTGTGCTTATCTAATCGGTAAATTTTTTTATTTTCACGCTGGCAACACTATTATACACATTCTGTCAAAGTTTAACGCATATCGTACGATTAGTTTTTGTTTGGCGTCTATACAAAGAAGTCGAAAAATTCGGCTGATCCATATGAGATGCCCAACACCACTGCAATCTCTCTAATCGGTTCACAACGATATTCCAACACGATCTGCTTCGCCGATTCAGTGTTTTCTTCAGTAACAGAAGTTGTTGGGCGGCCAGGGATCTCATCATGGACCAAGCTTGTACGACCGTCTTTGAACCTTTTAAACCATTCGTATACTCGTGGTTGCGATACACACAAATCACCAAAGGCCTTTTTTAACATTTTTTAACAGTTTCGGCACACTTGAATCCATTTGCAACACAAAATTTGATGTACGTTATTCTAATTATCCATTATAAAAATCGCCACACGAAAATTTTCCAACTTCTTTGTATAGACGCCAAGCAAAAACTAATCGTGCGATATGCGTTAAACTTTGACAGAATGTGTATAATAGTGTTGCCAGCGTTAAAATAAAAAAAATTACCGATTGGATAAGCGCGGGAATTCAAAAATAGGCCTCTCGTTCTTTTGTGATCAAAAAGTATCTGTTAATAAGAGCTAATTTGTTAATAAAAAATATGTTAAAATTCATTTTCAAGGATGCTATAGTAAGACCTTAAATAAGACATGTAAGAACGAAAAAAGTTGGGGAAGAATTCGAAGATAACAAATTTTAGTAATGTATGACTTCATGCAAACGAACATTTCGATCCCAAAATGTAAAAATAATAATTGCTTAATAAGTGTTGTTCTCCTTATATCATTCTAATATTTAATAAATCAAATAATAATATTCTTAAAGTTTTAAATTACTTAATAATTGGACTTTTAATATTCAAATTAAAAATTCGGCCAGTAAAATCGAAGTTTTTACGGACCCGATGCACACAGGTACGAAAATTGAAAATGGGTAAGAATAAAAATTTCATCCGTACTTTTTGAGGAATAATATTGTTACAAATATAAGCTATGCAACAATAAAAGAACGGTTTTATTCTACTATATTCTACCACAGAACACACCACTATATATTAAAATTACAATTACAATTACAATTAGACAAAAATACTTTTATTTATATATAAAAATTCATCAAAAATAATGCCAATATAAAGCACAAAGAACATTGACAGTACCGTACCGCATTTATGTTAGCTTGATTATATCGTTACCGTCGAGTATGTGAAACGCTCTTGTTTCAACGCTCTTGTTTCAACGCACCTTTGCTCAATATTCATAATGTAATTAAATAGTTACCATTTTATTCTGATTTGATTACGACAACTAATGACTAATCGTCAAAGCTCTAAATTTGATAACTGTCAACCAGATGTTTTCTTTCCTAATTGGAAAAAACTATGCGCTTATTAAACAATAATTGTTCTCAATCTCATATTCGAAAGCACCTTAAAATATATCTATAAAGGTATTCAACCTTTTATTATTATTATTATTATTAAATCTTTAAACTTCGAAAATGCAAAACTTTTTTATTTACCAAAACCGTCACCTTAATTATCTCCTTAATTACTTATTAAGCTTAAATAGAAATTATCGTGTTATATCACATTAAAAATAACTCTTAATTTAAGCTTCAACATATCTATGAATGTATATATCAGTATATTATAGTATTATTATATCATATTTATATTAATATAATATAAATATATTATATATATATAAATATACTAGCTGACCCGGCGAACGTTGTTTCCACTTGCAATTAATTTTCCTGACTCAGCTGAGTTATAATATTTGTTGTTATTCAACTTAACCTTTAGCATTTTAAGCTAAAATTATTTTGAATTGATTTTTTCTTTTGAACTACAAAAAGTCCACATGCATTACTTATGTTACAAATATTTTTATGTTACTTCAAATCCTTATAAGTACTACATTTTACATGAAAAAAGGTTTTTTGAATATTATATTAACAGTTTTATTATGGGCTATAATGTTAACTTAAAGCTAAATTATGAACAATATTTTTTGTTAGGCCATTTTGTACGTATATATATATAGATCAGAAGGCTTAGCTTGAATTTTGAAATTGATTTCATCGACATCTAAGTTCTTGACAGCCAGAATCGCTCTACTTTGAAGCCATTGATGGTTCTGATAATTTTGATATATGTTAGGAAATACGTTTTCTATTAACTCCTCTTCCGAATTAACAATTTTATAAACATTTTCTGGCACCCTCCCCGTGGGTGTTGACCGGGCAATGGGCATCATCCATTTTTTGGCAATTCGTTTCATGAAGCTCTCGGATGTTATAACCGAGGAACATGATGCGGCTTGTCAAGGACTGTGATGTGTCTAGCTAAAATGAAGGAAGAGTCTCATGTGCAGTGGTCGTGGTATCTACAGGGTCAGTGCAGGTGAGCCCCTTCCCTAGTCATAACTTTGAGGTGTCTGGCAGTAGACAAAAAATTCAAAATGGTAGGTTTTTCCATAAAAAACCAAATGGAGTGAAGAATGAAGAAAATCGGGTAGGGATATCAGCCCAAACGTCGGTGGGAGGCGCAGTTGCTACCACCGGCGGGCGCGTCGCCAGTGACTGCACCTTTGCTGGGATCGGAGCAGGTTCCAGCAGTTGTACTACTACTGCCAAGCAACAGCGCAGTGATGCCAAAGTTCCTGTAGACTTGGGTCACAAAGGCGCAATGTCAAAAAACAAAAATACAATACAACGCAGTGATGCCATAGTCCCTGTAGACTCGGATCACGAGAGCGTTGCTAGTGTCAACACAATTGAGGAGGATGCTCTTCTTCGTTCTCCGGGGGAAGCTGCTAAGGCCATTCGTAGGCCTAGGGCTGAACCAAATAAGGAGGGGTTGAGAGCCAAATCCAGATATAAGGCTGCGATAAAACTCTGTGCTCGCCTCGGAGACCGGAATGATCTGTCGAAGGAGGAGAAGGACAGGCTAGTCTGGGCAAAAGAGGAGATAGAGAAAATTCGAGCCTTTTTCGCAGGTAAAAGGTGGTGTGAACCCTCGGATTCCAAATTTGCAAATCGAATCGAGGAGGATATGGCATGTAAGAGGTAGCGCTCAACGGAAAGCGAAGGTCCTTCTGGAAAGAGACAAAAGCGTAAAGATGAGGCTGCCCCTCAACATAAAACTGCTACGAAAAGGACGAAAGCCGATACTACTAAAAGGCCGGAAGCGTCCACATCTAAGGCAGCAACAAAAAATACGAAAGCCAATGATCCAAAAGAACAGGAAGCGTCTACATCTAAACTAACAATGGCGGGGATAGTGGCCAAGTGACGCTTGATTGTGGCACTTATCGACCGCAGTGATCCACAGGGTCAAATGGTAGAAACTAGGTGGAAAATAGTGGAAATGAAGCTATTAGATGCTATGTTCGCCAAAATGAGCGCGGAACCAGACGCTCCAATGCCATCATTTGACGGCGCCGGCTGGTTCAACGGAGTAAAAGGAGAGCAAAGGTAAGGTGGCGGAACTTAACCACCTGTAGAACAGCTAGAATTATATGTAGACACATATACGAAGAAAAGTACACCAAGAATGTTATATCATTTAACCGAAGGAACTGTAGAACATTAATTGGTGTGTTGACAGGTCACTGTTTGGTTGCATCACATGCCCGAAAACTAAACCTAATTCACAACGATGCTTGCAGGAAATGCAATGAGCCGGATGCAAAGGAAACTCTAGAGCATCTGATGTGTAATTGCCCGGTTCTCTTGAGTACTCGACAAAAATACTTGGGAGCTTTCGGTTTTGCAGGACTGGAGTACATACCTGAGGGTTCTGTTGGAATCTTAATAAATTTTGCTATTGAAACGCGCATCCTAAGTGATGCATACAATCGCTAAAACAAGACTCTGATCTGGTATCGCAATGGACCTTAGTGGTCTACGCGTGGCCTTTTTGGCCTGCCAGCATAATCTAATCTAATCTAATAAAGTGCGTATTTTCATGAAGACTTACGTTTCCGTTACCAATATCCAGCAATTGTTTGGCAAACAGTTCTGCAGCTAAATCGCTCTGTAGTTCAACACGCATGTTTTCCGTAAGTCGCAATATATGGACACTTCGCCACAAAATGGATGATTTTAGGCAAGCATTCATTATCAATTAAAGCGCCTCCAAAAAGTCTATAGTTGGCATTTAAATCTTTAAGTGTTCATTTAATGCTTCCAATGAATATTTATGTGCCATTGTGCATTCATCCCAAACAATGATGTGACATTTTTGAAGTACTTGAGCCATATTTAAATGTTTTTTAATATTGCGTACCCCATTTTCACATGAATGTATGTTTAGTGGCAACTTTAGTGCCGAATGGGCTGTTCTACTACCATCTAACAATGTCGCAACGATTCCAGATGATGCAAGTGCTAAAGCGATATTTCCTTGCATTCTAACCTTTGCAAGAATAACTGAAATTAAGAAAGTTTTTCCAGTTCCACCTGGTGCAACCAAGAAAATAAGCCGCCTTCTTTTGCCGTAATTGCGTTCGAAACCCAATCATAAATGACCTTTTGTTGGTGCGTTAAGATTTGTTCGCTTCTTGTAACAAATTCAACCAAATCTTCAGAGCTATACTGAAATTCGCGCTGCATATCATTGTTTAATAGATCGGTTGCCAAACGATTTATAATGCGGAATTTAAATGCACTTAAGCTATGCAACGGCAGTTTTACGATTCATTTTAGAGATTTTAAACTTTTTAAACAAATCAAAGTAAGCATGAATAAATTTTAAATTTCTAATATGAAAGTATATGGATACCAAAAAATAAAAAATTAATTAAAAAGACATTATCCAGTGGGCCAAATTGTGAATCTAAACCTTCCTTGAATCCACTTGAACACACACAAAAAATTTCATCTAAATCGGTTCAGCCGTTTAGGAGGAGTTCACTGTCAACACACGTACAGAAGAATTATATATATAAGATATATATTATATATATATATATATATATATATATATACATCTATTATATATATATATATTTTCTCATGTATGTACGCGTATGATATATGCCTAAGCTTTGAAAGGTATTCAATCATTTTTCAGGTATTTGATTTTTAATATAGTACAGAAAATATACAGAACTTCTAAATTAGTTCACAGAACTCAAAAATATAATATTATTGATAACTATTACAAAATAAATTAATTTTTATTCATGAAATTTGTGTATGTACGATACTTCCTTAAATATTTTTTAAAAAACAAGTTAATGTTTTAATACTATTATCATTGAGCTCGATATTTCCAAAGGACTTTGAGAGTACTGACTCGTACCGACTCACTAATATTATTTTTAATCATATTATTATATATTATTCAAATATATAATTGCGACCATTTTTATATAGAAAAAATGATGTAATTTATAAAAACTTTGTGATACATAAAATTTGTAAATAAATAAATTATAGTACAAAACTTTGAAAAGCTAAGCTAACAACTCTTCTCTGAAAATCATATTTGATTTAGCCCCATTTCAGATATAATTAATGTATACAACTAACTGCCAGTAATTTTAATATTGAAAAATTGAGAAAATTATGGAACACTATAAAGTTATATAAATGTATGTACTTAGTACATAAAAACTTTTCACAAACGGTACAATTGCCATAGATGTGAGCTCCGTACACATAATTATATAAACTGTTTTGTGATATAAAAATTTAAAATGTAGTAATAAATCTGCTAATATGACAGAAAATTTCAAAACAAAATTCTTTTTAATAATAACTTTATTATTTAATTCATAGTCTAATAAAAATTAAAAACAGCGGAAAATTTTATATAAACAAACAAAAAATTAAAGAAAATATTTTTATGCTTATATTAAATATAAATACTAGGTTCTTTTCTTATACCTTTTTTATTATTTTTAATTTAAATTTTATAAATTAATAGCAAATTAAATAAAGTTTTTAAAAGCAATTGTGCAATTCAATCATTTCAGCAAGTATTTTTAAGAAATATCTTGAAAATATTTTATCCCAATTTGCTAAAATTCAAAACAGTTTATGACTAAAACTTGTGTAGACAAAACCGGAAATTGTATATACATATATATGCTCACATAATACAATTTTCTATATTTTCTCATAAAATTCTCCTCACAATATATCCCGTAAAATCATCACACCTCAGGAACACCTTTGACAAGTGGAGCACTTGGATTTGGTATGCTAAAGACTGGATATCTTGGCAAAAATGCACTCTCACCATAGTCGTGTTTTTCGTCAGCATTAATTTTACCAGGTCTCATATGAGTAGCCTCCTCATAAGTTGGTGGTTCTAAAGAGTAATAAAAGAAATTTTTTTATAACAATTTTATTTAGACATTCCATTAATAATCAGAATACACACGCATGTCACCATTTCCTTCCCAAGGTATCGGAGTACTAACAACGGCAATTTCATTATTCTCAACAGCCTCCAACATTTTGGCATCAGTTGGTGCTGTTGGCATTTGATGTTGTGCTGCAAAACTGGTTGTAGGCTGCTGTTGCACTACTGTCTGCAAAGGTACATTACCAATAATAATTGGTGCACATATAACTTGATTAGCATGGAATCCTTTGATTTTTGCTTCAACAAAAACTTCATACATAATATGTAGGATACTGCAACTAACAATATTGCTTGGTGGCGTAGCAGGTACTGGAAGTTGATAATTGAACAACTTTTTGCAGTTACGCTGCACTCCTTCACCCTTCATTTTCGCAACGGTAGTCTTTTCTGTTTTAGATGATCTAGGGCACTGACTATAAAATATAACCAACATGGCTAATGAAATCTTCATTTCCTCTACTGGTATATGACTGTCATTTGTGACTAATATGGAGACAGGTATATTCTGTCCAGGTACAAAACCAGTTTGCGGCAAATCGATGTCCAATTGCAGTGGTGATGATTTACAGGGCCAACAACAAAAAGTCTTTGATGCAATCGCATGTACTGGTGGCTTTTATAAGATACAGAAATTATTTTTCACAAATATTATTATTTTATTTGGAATTTAATAATTACCAATGCCATTGGTTCATAGTTCAGATCCCTGATTGCTAGCACGGTAAATCCTTTCGTAAATGTCTGATCAAATTTCCACGGACGTATGAGTACAACCTTCACTGTATATCTTATATATCCATGAAGACTCTCATAAGAAGTTGGACAATTTGGTGGTATCTGACAAGCAAAATTATAGACTTGTGTGCCAGGTTCAATTGTAAGCTCTGCTAAACCTGTTTGATATATTTATATATTAATGGCTGTATTATTTAAACGGTACTAAATGTTACCCATTTCTGATCCAACAACATATGTGGTCGATGCAATGTAATCCTCATGTCCACTATAATAGGTAGTGATAGTTTTAGTTGACGTACCTCCATTACTATCAGTCGTCGATGTCGTTGAACTTTCACTCCAATTAGTATGTGCAAACCCAGTAATTTTTAGCGCAACAGCTTTTAGTGAAATATATATTTAAATAATATAATATTTAAATAAAAATATTTAAAGCACCTTTAACTTTTTTAGGTTTATTTGCGTTTAATGTTACTTTTCCTGAAAGCATTTGGCCAGCAAAGTAGGTGCCAAAAGGATTATTATCGAATTCTATAAAACATGTCACCACCATTTTTTTTTAATTTTTAAATTTGTTCAACACCTCGAATTAAATATATATATATTTTAAATAGAGTACCGCTTGACGACGTTCGCACTATTGCCAGTTTGTTATCAAACTAAATTTTTCTTGCTTCATGACTTCTATTATACAGCAAAGTTTAGCTTTCCGGCATATAACAATAGGTATTAGTTTCACATCTTATCAATTCAACCACCTCGATAAGAGAAATATTTGATTGAAAACAACCTTAACCGTACCTTATGAATTGTATATTCTTAATTACTCATTGGTAATAAAACATAATTTGTAGAAAAGCATTAAAATTTGGGTGGAAAATATAAAAGAATTTTGGAATGATTTAAGTTCATATAGTAATATGTAATCAATTAATTTTATAATATGAAGCATATTAAAATATACTTTCAATACATTCTGTATAACTTTAAACATACATATGAGTCATTCTTTTACAACTCGGACACCTTTTTGACCTCATGATCTCCGATTTGGCTGAAATTTTTTATGAGCTCCCTTCTTAAAATAAGACGACCCGTATCTCGGGAAAAAAATTTGTGATTTTTATCCTAGGAGATATGGACCCATGAGGTTTTGAGAATTGGCATAGTAGACACATTTTCAAATGGCTATATCTCAAGTTCTATAAAAGGTAAAAAAATTGTTAATATTTAAATTCTAAAATTAACCGTTAAATTTCAAAAAAAAATTTTTCTTGCAATACGTCCCCAAAGATTCCACTTTTTATATTTTATTTGGATTCAGTTTTAAATTTTACTACGAAATAAAAATTTTAAGGATGCAGTCATTTTTTGAAATTTTTTAATATTTTTTTTTCTTCCGCAAAACACATCATGCACATGCATACTACATTTCTATTGAATGAATTTTCATAGAATATATTACATATATTCTTATATAATATTTTTGATTTCAATTAGTAATAAAATTCTATATAAAACTCAAAAATTTCAGGACGATATTGTAATTAGAAGTTCTTTTAAAAATTTATTTATCCTTCATATCACACCAAACACATACACACGATTTTTCAGTTCAATTCTACTTAAAAAATAAATATTTCCACTGTGATATTCCTTTAAAAGAAATTAAAAAACATTAATTTATCAGGTGTCCTTCACGTTACTCATACGCACCATAGTACCATAAAATCAATTTTCGAAGGAAAACAATACAAAAATTTTTACTTTTTATTTCTGAATTGAGTTTATCATTAAATTCATCATAAAAATTAAACTTTTTTGGGCGTTAGTATTCTCAGAAGTATTTTTATTGAATAAATAAAAAACTCTAAGAATAGCGATGAAGAAGATGACTCGCGTCAATTTTAAAAAATCTGCTGGAAAATTTTAATGGCACAGCAGATAGAACTATGAAAATAAAAATAGTGGGTGTGACACATGATTGGTCTATCCGAAAGGGTCACGACTTACTTCTCAAACGCTACAAAATGTATGACTACTGTTGCTAAAAAACTTACTTCAGAGAAATGAATCTTAAAAGACCCAAATCCAAAAAGCCACCGCTAAGAAAATATATAACCAATAGAATTTTAAATTTTTACGAATGTGAAGAATACAGTCAAGTAATGCCTGGGTAAAAAAATCTGCGTATCTTTACAAATTGACGGAAAAAGAACACAAATGCAAAAACGACCACAACATTGCGTTCTTGCAGGAGCAAGCGGCACACATTCAGTTTGTGTGTGCTCCATACACGAAAACGTACGATTAATGGTATATGGAGTGAATATAAAAGCACAGACTGCATGCAGTAGAAAGCCGATAAATAACTATAAAGATTGCCTACAGCGCATGATTTGCAATACTTCACGCACAAAATGTTTTCTAGCAACCTGCGCCAAATTTCTTGGAACTGAAAATATCAATGAACAACTACTGGAGATATTTGATGACAACATGATTGACACCATTAAATACAAACAATGGGATCGTGAAGAGAGAAGTACATTAAAAACGTTGATATCCCAAATAGACGAATATTTGTAATCCTTAACAGATGGTTTAGACAAATTGCTTTTGCATTCTTTTATTGTTAAAAAACAGGTAGAGTTTTTAAATGATAAGAAAAGCAACTTAACAAAAACTGCTTTTGTTGTTCAAAACTCTGTTCAAGGTATTCACTGGAATAATAATCAGGCAACAACTCATATTTTTGCAATATACCACCGTGATGAAAATAAAAAACTACAAATAAAACATTTTGTTTGCATGTCTGACTGTTTACATCACAACTGCTGTTGTGTTAAAAAAATTAAAAAAATTAGTACGGATATTAAAAAAATTATTTAGTTTTCCGATGGATCGGGTTCACAATATAAAAATAAAAAAAATTTTATTAATTTAACTCATCACAAAGCGGACTTTGGTTTGGAAGCAGAATGGCACTTTTTTCCAACGTCACAAGGCAAACGACCATGCGACGGTTTAGCTGGTACCTTAAAGAGGAATGCTGCAAGAGCTAGCCTTCAACGAATAAATAATCCCATCCAAACACCAAAGGAATTATTTAACTGGGCTAAGGAATGTTTACCAAATATTGTGTACCATTTCTCAACGTTAAAAGACTATAAAGTAGAGGAAAATAAGATTAAACACCGCTTTGAAGCAGCTACATCAATTAAAGGTACATTAAAATATCACTGCCTTATTCCAAATTCCAAAAAAGTATTAATGGCAAGCATATTTTCTTCTTCAGACATTACAGATTATGTATCAATAATGAAATGAAAATTAATAAAATCAATGTAAAAACCATAAAAAAAAATATTTTGTTTTTAGTTCCTTACAGTTTCTTTCCTATAACATTTCTCACCTGTGCAGAGTATTTTTCCAACTGTAGCAAAATAACACTTCACCGAAAAAGGTAGGTGTGATTATGTGCTGCAGTTTTCTAGGTAGATCGGCTAGTACGAAAATAATTAACTTATTAATTCACCTATATTAGAAAAAAGTTTATTAAACGATTTAATTATGTTAAAATTCCTAATTTAAAAACAGAAATGATGCGGAACTATTTTAAAATGTTATGTTTTATGTATACATTTATTTTAAAAATAAAAAGTAAAAGTTTTTGTATCGGTTTCCTTCGAAAATTGATTTTATGGTACTATGGTGCGTATGAGTAACGTGAAGGACACTTGATTAATTAATTTTTTTTAATTACTTCTAAAATGAATATCACAGTGAACATATTTATTTTTGAAGTAGAATTTACATATTAATTTGAATCAAAAATAAAAAAAGAAAATTTGTGTGACATATTCCTTTTTTTTTTTCTACTGAAAAATCGTGTTTAGGTGTTTGGTGTGATATGAAGGATAAATAAATTTTTAAAAGTATTTCTAATTACAATATCATCCTAAAATTTTTTGATTTTATGTAGAATTTTATTACTAATCGAAATCAAAAATATTATATAAGAATATATGTAGTATATTCTTTGAAAATTCATTCAATGGAAATGATGTCCGCATGTGCTTAATGTGTTTTGCGGAAGGAAAAAAAATATTAAAAAATATAAAAAAATGACTGCATCCTTAAAATTTTTATTTCATAGTAGAATTTAAAATTGAATCTAAATAAAATATAAAAAATGAAGTCTCGTGTGACATATTTCAAGACAAATTTTCTTTTGTAATTTAACGGATAATATTAGTCCTTAAATATTAACAATTTTAATTGTCTGAACAATTTCATAAAAGTTCAATCAATTATCTTTGAAACGCTGTAAATTTCAAGTTTCTACCTTTTATAGAACTTGAGATATAGCCATTTGAAAATGTGTCTACTGTGCCAATTCTCAAAACCCCATGGGTCCATATCTCCTAGGCAAAAAATCACAAAATTTTTTCCCGAGATACGGGTCTTCTTATTTTATGAAAGGAGCTCATAAAAAAATTTCAGCCAAATCGGAGATCATGTGGTCATTTTTTGCCAAAATCCGTCCGGTTTGTAAATTAATTAATAAAAACAAAGATTTTATTAAATACTTACTTCAGCACATTTGTTTACAGCTAAACTTTTACTTATTTACATTCATCATATAAAACATATAACAAATATTTGAAATTTTGGTGAGTTCCCTTATAGGAAATTTATATTTAAAGGTTTTATTTGACTTTTTTGAGTTTAAATGAGTTGATTTATTTATAATGAACTCATTTATAAGAAAGCTCCATGTATGGTAAAATATCCTCATTAGCGACCTTAAGAACAAAAACAAAACTCCATAATATCATGTTTCCACCACAACTACAACTACCAATGGCAATAAAATTAAGATTTGATCATTTCCATTGGCATAAGCTAATTTACACATGTTTGCGTATAGGTTGCTTGTTTATATTTTATATATAGAACATATAGTATAACAAATATTTAAAATTTCGGTCATTTCTCTATTGGGAAAACTACTTTTAAAGGTTGCATTCGATATTAGATTTACCATAGTATAAAAGGTAGATTTATAGAAACAGCAGATTTATTTATAATAAGGACATTTATATGAAAGCTCTTTTTATGGTAAATTATCCATCTAAGCGGATTATGAGAAAAACTGTCTAAATTAGACAAGTGCATCGTGGTACAAAAAATATCAGTGGAAACATGGTATAAATGACACCAGTGGAAGCATGGTATGAAATGCGCGCAATGTTCATGAAACTAACTTAAAATATAATTTCTAATTTACTACTTTTCTAAGGTTTTTCAAAATAAAAAATAGAAGGTTCTGTATATAAAACAAGATATTCGACAAACACTTTTTAATATAAAATATTTTGAATTTCAAAATTTTTCAAAATAAAAAACGGAAGTGTTTTATAGTGCTCTTACAAAGTTTTACAGCAAATAAAAGCTTCTAAACTTAAAATAATAAACTAAAATAAGTGTTGCAAAACGCTAAAACGAATTTTGGATAAAACTAATTATCCAAAAATTTAATACGTGTTATTTTGTGAAAATTTTGAACACTTATATTAATGTTTAATATTTATTTTATTAAAATAATAAAAAATTTATTTATATTAATATTTGAATATTTATTTGCATTTAAAATACAACTTAAACAAAATCAAATGTGATATATGGTACATTTTTATACTAATTAACATTTTAATTTAACCGATTCTTTTTTTAAAAATAATTTAATCTTTTTAAAATAATTACTACTCAAAAATCACTTGTTCTGCTGCATGGGC